AACCGAAATTCTGAATCCAGCTTGCTGAAGAACACCCAGGAAGAGACCCTATCCTGATAACATCTGCCATCTAAGTTGATGTGGTTTCTTTTAGAGAGTTTCATAACTTTAGGATACGTTACAAATATTTTGCTGATGTAAAATATCACATGTCAATGTATTTTTTTTTTTGAGACAGAGTCTCACCATGCTGCCCTCAGTAGAGTGACTTGGCGTCAAAGCTCACAGCAACCTAAAACTCATGGGCTTAAGTGATTCTCTTGCCTCAGCCTCCCAAGTAGCTGAGACTACAGAAACCTGCCACAACGCCGGCTAATTTTTGTTGCAGCTGTCATTGTTCAGCTGGCCCGGCCGGTTTCCAACCTGCCAGCCTCAGTGTATGTAGTTGGCGCTGTAACCACATGTCAGTTTTTAAAATTGATATTTGGGGTTAGACATTTGAAGACATGAGCTGGAAAATAAGGTAGAAACAACATGTTAAATTGAGTTTCTTTCATTTTTTGAGATGGAAAGAAAATATTTGAAAGGTATGGAAATCAGTGTAAAGGAAGCAAGCATTAGTTCCAAGATTTTTTTTTTGCTCTGCATAAAAAAATAACTTGTCCAAAGTTGGTTGCATCCAGACCCTGACAACCTCACAGAAGACAGATCTTTACAACCCGGGCGGAATGGTGTAATAGACTAGGGCTGGGCCGCAGTCGCAGTCGCAGTTGAACAAGCTGTGTTGGGCTGTTCCTTCCCCAGGATTCTCAGGAGCTCTCCCCTCCATACCCCTGGATCTCTGGCTAGGGGATCCAGATCAGAGATTTGGAGCTAGGATTACGGAGTCAATAAAGTTGTCGCTGTGATGATAGATGCCTACTCGTCCCGTGTGCTGGTGTCCAAGCCTGTAGGATACTGTTCCCCACTTTCCTTCCTCCCCATCTCCCCGCTTCAGTGGGGTGGAGGGAAGGTGGGGAGCCGCATCCTACTCCCATTACCCCCACTCTTCCTTGCCAGAGCCAGAGGCCTCCGCCAGGGGGCGCGCCTTGCGCCGTAGGTCGTTGGATCCGCGTGCTGGGATTCAGGGGGACGCAGTACTCCGGGACCGCCTGTTTTATTCCCACTACCCTCGGGTCTGGGGCTGGGCTCGTGACTTCCCTCCCAGCCTCAGACTCTTGTCAGTCTGCTTCTGTCCCAGGGTCAACACTCCCAATACAAAGCTCTCCAGCCTTTGCCCTTGCCCTTGGCCGTGTCCCGCCCACCCGGGCTAGGGGAAAAGAGCAGTGTTCTGAGTGCGCTGCTCCTTCCGGCCAGCTACTGGAGCCCCGGGCGCAGGGATCCCCCAGCTACGTCCTCCACCTCAGAGTACCCTCCAGCCTGCGGGCGGGGCACCGTTGCCTCAGTGCCCCTCCTCCGCGCCGGCTCTCGGGCATTCGGCAGGCTCTGCGCCGGCCGCCTACCCCTCCTGGAGACCCCGTCTCCTTCCTCCTTTCCTGTGGCCGCTGACCGCTAGCTCCGATAAGCCTCGCTCGGCCCCAACGTAGCCTCTCACTTCTCTGCGCCCACGAGCCTGAGCGAGAGCGTTCCCTCCCTGCTTCCCGCAGGCGGTCCTTGCAAGTTCCCAGGGCGCCGCACGGCTTCCTCTTTCCGAGGACCCCGCCGCGGTGCGCGCCCCCTGACGCCACCGTCTCGGGCCCTCCGGCGTCTGGGCCGCTCCTCCTTGCTCTGCGTTCCTGGGGCGAAGGAAAATCCCACTGGGCGCCCCCAGCATTGGCGCCTGCCGCCGCGGATCTCCGTTCTGAGTAGACGCAAGGCCCCTGTCCACTGACACCTCCTCGGCTCTGGTACCTTAGGCCCTGCCTGACCTGGTTATCTTTCGGGCCAAGCCAAACGGGTTTTTGGATCCTCAGTCCCACTGCGACCTCATCAGAGCAGGCTGCGGGGGAGGGCAGGCAGATCTATCCACCCGGACTCCCGGGTCACAGAGGGGGATGGGCCGCGAAGGCTTAGAAATACCTCATGTTAATTCTCCCCAGGCTTGCATTTTTAAGTCTCTACATTTAAAGGAATTTGAGGAATTTCCTTGGCGATAACATTTTTCCTGCCTGCAAGGCCCCTCACTTCATTCCCTTCTATCTCTAACCCTACTCCCATTTGCCTGCCCCAGAGTTGTCATTCCATTCTGTTAATCTTTTGCTTCTATGAGTTCTTGCCCACCCCCGAAGTGTCTTGCTTTGCTGATGTGCATTTTAACTTTGTGTAACTGGAATTGTAATATTTTTCCATCAGGTTTTTACTCAGTGTTAAGATTTTAAGATGGATCCCTGTTGCTTCTGCCCCTTCTAACTGCCATTTCCTCTCCATGCTGCTCATCTGCCTTGGTTTACTCTTCCTTTACCTACCCTGCCCCCATCAATAACTGCCATAACTATTCTCCAGCACATCACCTTATGCAGCACATTGGTGTGCACATGTATCACCTGGGAATCCTGTTACGATTCAGTTTCTAAGGAGCTCTGAGCTGATGCCTATCCTGCTGGTCCTAGGACCACATTTCCAGGAGCAAGGCCAGTGTGGAACTCTTTGAGAATTCAGTTTGGGTCGCTGGGTCGTGTAGTATGTGTGGATCTAATTTGATGAGTATTGCCCACCTGCTGTTGTCTAGTCTGGCTGCCCTGCCTTAACCCACACTAGCAGGGTGGGAGGGTGAAAGGTATATATGGGGGAAGGGAGGAAGGCGTCCTCCTTGCTCTTGTCTGCATCTTGTCTACCAGTGCATCAGGTTTTGGCCCAAGGCCCCTCTCTCCCTTAAGTAGAACAGACCAGGCTCCAGAGCATATCTCTGGCCAGCAATGCATGGACAAGTTAGTGATGGGTCCAGGCCAGGCGTCCTGAGCCCACCCTCACCATGGAGGACCCTGAAATCTCACCTTATCACACGTCTAGACTGATCTGACTCATGATCTCCCTAGGCCTGGGCTTTATCTCTGACAGGAGCTCTTGAGAAGTGATGGGATCTTCAGTTAGCCTGTTTATGTTCCTTCAGCCCCCTTTGGTTTCTCTTGAGTAGCTTGTTAGGGTACACTAGCACTCAGATGGCTTGGCCCTGACCCTGACCAGGCTGTCCTGAGCCTGGATTTTAACCCCTAAAATGGAATAGTCAAGGAATAGCTATAATTTGTGGTACTATTTGCTGGTCTAAGTTCTTTGCCTGCATGCCAGCAGCCCCACAGAAGCCATAAAGACAGGTGTTCTTGCCTTTTTGTCCATGAGGAAAGTGAAATTTAGGAGGTTCAGTAGTTTCCACTAAAGCCATGGAGCTATAAATGACAATGCTAGGATTCAAGCCCAGCCACAGCTCATACACCAAAGCCTATGCTAACCCCCAGGCTATGTCACCTCCATGTCCTACCTTGCCCTTGCTTTGAGGCTATATTGTAGGGAGAACAACAAAGAAACAGGAAGGTCTGGTCCTTGGGTTTCAGGCACTGATGTTGAAGCCATCTAACCAGTGGCAGACAGTTTGGAAACTTTATAGTAAGTGAACTTGGGCAAAAATGAGCCAGAGTTCTAGTGGTTGGTTCCCAGGGCCTGAATAGGTGGTCGGAGATAGGGCCACCGGCGCTTCAGGAACAAGGATTTTAAGGTTAGATATAAAATAGAGATCAGAACTGGGTGGAAGTTGAGGATGGCCTGGGATTGGGTAGGGATCAGATGGGTAGGTCTTAGCTGTGGGTAAAGGTGTCTGTCATGTACCTTACTTGGTAATAACTGATTACTCAATGTTTTGTTTGAAGGGGTCAGCAGGTGTGCAAATAGGAGAATAAAGGGACACCACCTTCCAAGGCCCTTCTGGTGCTGTAAGCTGCTTGCTGGGTCAGGTTTGAAAACCCTGGGGCTATGCTTTTCCCATTCACACAGCTGTGCTAGCATTTCCTGGCACCAAGTCCCAGGCCCAAGCATTTCACAATCAGAAGAGTTCAACATCTGCACATTTTGAGATTTCATGACACAGCCTTTTACATCTTGTCCACACCCATCCAACTTCTGTTTCCCACTTCAGGGCCAAAATTCTATCCGAGACAGAACATTTTTCTGAAAGCCCAAGGAGGCTTTATGCCTTTTCCTTCAGGTTCAAAAAATCTTTTGAGCCTACAGAGTTTCCTTAGAGCTCAAAACAACATCTTACAGTGTTTTGGTTTTTAAAAAAGTGCTTCACAAATATTGCCTTTGACTCCACAACAACTCCATGACAGGGTTGGGACCTACTTAATAATGCTGAAGTTCAAAAGGATTAATTGGTTCAGGCTGTACACTGTGAGGGTGGGTGAAATGGGACTTGTTCACTTTTCCATGGCAGACCTTGAGGTTCTTAAAGAGTGAGTAGGTACTTTCTGGGTACTCACTATCCTGGTCAGCCCATTTCTCAGAGTTGAGGATGTGGATTGAGAAACTCTAGGGTGGGACATGCCTAGGCTAAGAGGTTTAGGAGGTGAGTTGAGGTCTCATGGACTCTGGCCGGCCTTCTCTCTGCTAGGTTTCTGTCAGTGGGGACTTTTCTAGAGCCTGGGGTTTTCCTGGAAGTAGAAAGAAGGAATTGGTGGGAGGAATGGAAAGTCCAGGGGTCCCTCGTAGAAGTTCTCAGCAAGTCTAAAGCTGAGAAAGCTGAGACAGCTGAGCAGCTATAGAAAAAGATGCTCCCAGTTGCCAAGTAGACCTCAGTGGTGTCACCACATCCACAAGGAGACTGTCAGTGGCTTGGCCAAGCTCTGCCCCTAGCTAAGCAATCTATCCTGTCCCCCTTCTCAAAGCCTCTGGTGCCTCACACTAGGCATCTCCAGCATCGATTGAGGAAATGCCCAGAGGCCAGGCCAGGCTACCTGCAACACCACACATGCCCTGGTGCTAGGGACTGTGGGTCTGATGCCTGCTGAGGAAGGAGACCCTGATCCCACTGCCCTCCCTCTCCCCTGGGCCTCAAGCCCTATGCCAGGGCTCAACAGACACAGGCAGCCGGATGGGGTTGCCCTTCTATTGGTCCAAGTCCTGAGCATAGCCTGGGTGCATCATGGAGGTGAGGAGGCCCACGAGGCTCAGCAGTGTGGAGAAAAGCAGCAGGAAGGAGGCGGTGAAGAGGAGGGCGGGCAGGGCACTGAGCACCAGCAGCAGGACAGCCGGCAGCAGGTGGCGCCATGCTGCAGCCACAACAGGCCACAAGGAGCTCAGCAGGTGGGAGCCGGTGGTGAAGAGGGCATGGCACAGTACGAGTGCCAGCAGCAGGTAGAGTATCCCCTCCAGACACCACAGCACACGCTGCAATGGCTGCCGCCAGCCCGATGTGTTCCACCACTGGGCCCAGCGTGGGGGCACATGGCATGCCCACCAGCGTGCCCAGACCTGCCGCATGACCCAGGCCGACCAGGGCACTGCTGGCTGTGGCCCCTCGCCGGCCCCGATGGTATCTGTCTCCACTCGCGGCTGCTGCATCATGGCTGGTGCACCTGGAGAGAAGCCAGGCTAGCTGCAGGAGCAGCCCCGGAGTTGTCTGGGAGCCCAGGGAAGGTGGGGGTGCAGGGGTCAGGAGGGTGCCAGCATGGGTAGGTTGGAGCTGGGAGCTGGGGCCTGGGACTTACCTCTGGGCAGAGTCACCTAAGTCATGTTGCGTCCTGCAGTGCCCAAGGAGGACCTGGCAACCAGCTCCAAGCCCTCACTCTCACCTACCCCCACCCTCCAAAGAGGAGTCCCTTTGTGACCCGGGCTGGGGTGGGGTCCTGCCAAGAGAGGAGCCACTGCAGGGTGTGAGGCTCACCTGAGTCCTTCTACATGGGCCCTCCAGCCTGGCAGGGGAGGCTGGTGAGCCCTGCAGATAGAGCTTCTCATGCTTTCTGTGGGGGCCCTTCCTGCATCGCTGTCCCTTGCCTATTGACTGATACCTATGCCCACCCCACTTCCTTGCAAGTCTTTTTCTCTGCGCTTCATTCTCTAGAACCACAGAAGAGGCCAGAGTGGCTGCCCCCAATTCACAGGCTCTGAGATGGCTACTACATCCTGCCCTGGGACCCCTGTCTCTTAGCTGCCTTCTCTTGCTGCCCTGAGCCTCAGTCCCAGGTATCCACTCCCCATATTAGGAGGCCAGAGGTCACCTGAGGTTTAGGCTGGGAATAAAGGGGTAACCTCCCACCTACCCAGCCATGATGGAGGAAAGAAGGCCTGAGGAAGAGGATGGCCAGTATATTTTTAGGGCACACAATGTTTTTGGAAGGGCACTCAGGCCCATGGGTGGAGGCAGAAAGCCAGACCCAACAGGGCTGCGGGCATGCCACGGGCTCCAAGGAGCAGCCCCAGTCCCATGAGTAGTAGTAGCAGTGCATCCTGAAGGCTGAGCTGTCCAGTGACTGTCCCCGCTGGTTGGAGGAGAGCCTCCTGCTGTCCTGGACCTTCACCGGCTCCCTGACTCTGACCCCTTGTGAGAAGCCTGTGCTGTGGCAGGTTAGGACCTGCAGGCCTGTGGAGAGAGAGAGTGGCAATTGGGCTTAGGGAAGTGGATCACTTGCCCACTCACCTACCATGCCCACCTGCCAGGCTGCTGTCCACTTACCTATGGAGCAGGTCAAAGGCAAGGAAGCTGACCAGTAGCAGTAGTAGCAGTAGAGCTGGGCCAGCCGTGGAAAAGATTGCCCGAATCGTCAACCCTAGTGCCCCCATCCCCAGGACACTGTCCAGGAGCTGGGCCTGGCTAGAGTTACAGGGAGATACACATGGATGCTCTGGACTACCCAATCCCTCCCCAGCACCCAGGCCCCTGGGAGGAACTGGCATTGAATCTGCAAAGGCTTTGGGCCTGGGCAAGTAGAGCCGGGTCATGGAGGGAGGTGGAGGTGGCATGAAGAACAGTGCTGGAAGAAGTCTGGGGTGGGACTGCGGGAGGGGTGGGGCCCTGGCAGACACTGGAGGGTGATCTGAGAGAGAAGGGAATTGGGCTTCTTGGGAATGCCCCCTCCTTGCATACCCACCCACCAAACCCTCCTCACCTCCTCTCATTTAGGTGAGCCATTCTGGGACTGGGCAGCCGGGGCATTGTGACCCGTAGCCAGGCAAGGCTCTGGGGTGGGAGGGGGCTGCTGCAGGTCTGGCCTCATAAGCAGCTGGTGGCCTAGGTGGGGCTTAGCCAGGAAGTCAGGGATTTCTGAGAACTAAGACTCACCCTCTTGCCTCTGCTACTTCTCTGCCCTAGGGCCCTCCCATGGGGATCTGTGTCGTCAGGAAGGCATTCTATCCCCATTACTACTTGGGCATCTGTCCAAGGAGAAGGACTTTCTGCTTGTTGTGAGTTCCCAGAGATGTGTGTCCAGGGGCAAGTCATTCAATATCACTGTCCCCGGCTTTCTTCCATGAGAGTGGGGTGATGCCTGTGGGCCCTTATGGGGGATTTTTCAGGCCTTCAGTTCTGGAGTGCAGAGAGGTCTGCCAGGGAGGCACCTGAGGCAGGTTCCCACATGACTACTAAGCAGGGGACATTTAGGTGTTCTAAGCACTATAGTGGGTGGGAGGGGTTACAGATACTGGGGTTTCAAAAATGGGGTAGAAGATGTGAATCTAAGAGGGCTAAGACCTGGTGACCCCTATATTGGAGGTTTAGGTTACTCTCTGAGGAGCCAGGCATTGTGGCATGCTCCTGTAATGCCAGCTACTTGGGAGCTGAGGTGAGAGGATCGCTTGAGCCCAGGAGTTTTACGTTGCTTGTGAGCTATGATCACATCTCACAACACTGTACTCCAGCCTGGGCAACAGTGGGAGACCCTGTCTCCAAAAAAAAAAAAAAAGTTACTCTCTAAAAATGAAATTAGGGGCTCAGCGCCTGTGGCTTAAGGGGTTAAGGGGCAAGCCACATACACCTGAGCTGGAGGGTTTGAATCCAGCCTGGGCCCGCCAAACAACAATGATGGCTGCAACCAAAAAAAAAAAAAAAATAGCCAGGCGTTGTGGTGGGTGTCTTAGTTCCAGGTACTTGGGAGGCAGAGGCAGGAGAATCACTTGAGCCCAGGAGTTGGAGATTGCTGTGAGCTGTGAAGCCACAGCACTGTACTCAGGGCGACAGCTTGAGGCTCTGTTGCAAAAAAAAAAAAAAAAAAAAATTGAAATTAGGGATGGGGCAGCGCCTGTGGCTCAAAGGAGTAGGGCGCAGGCTCCATATGCCAGAGGTGGCGGGTTCAAACCCAGCCCCAGCCAAAAACTGCAGAAAAAAAAAAAAAAAGAAATTAGGGAAAGTGAACATTTAATGAAGGGATTGGTCACCTGGAAAAGAAGTCTATCCCATTGGCAACCTGTAAATGGGTGGTGGCTACAGAAGTTCCAGCCAAGTGACTTGAGAGGCAAAGCATGGTAATGTGTCATAATTAAGAGAACTTAGTCCTTGTCCTCACATCGTATTTTTAAAGAAAACTGAGGGGGAAGACAGTGGCCATACATCCCCTAGCAGAGGAGGGGCTAGAACAAGAATCAGGCTGCATATCTGCCTCCAGCAAAAGCTCAGGCCTGATGGCCTTGGCATCTCTGAGGGTGATGGGCTTGTCAGTCCGTAAAGCCTATGTCACCAGCCCTTGGGATTACCCACTGATTAGATTGCCCTTGCTCTGGCTCTTCTTGCTTATTCAACAACTGGGCTTTAAAGTGTAGATTTGTCCACAAGGTGACAGTATAACAGGAGATCCCAGCATTTTTTGTTTGTTTGTTTGTTTAAGTTCCAATTGTTTTTGCAAATTAGGAAATTAGCATTAAGGTTTAAGATTGCTAGTCCCCTGAGCCTGATTGATTCTGGATGCATCCACAAGATCGCATTCCTGAATATGCAGACCTGAGGGTCAAGTCCTGATGATCCCATCAAGATGAGGCTACTTCATATTGCAGAAGTGGGATAAGGGGGGTAATTAAGGGGTAATTAAGGGTTCACTATCCACCAGGTGTTCTGCATACAGGAGAGCTGTCTGTAACTTCCTCAGAGTGTATTATTTATTCAGCAATCAATGTATTGTTTCCTATGTGCCAGGCACTGTGCCAGATCCTGGGTCATCCTGAAAGCAGAGCCTGAGATGCAGATCCCAGTACACATGGTTTATTGAGGGAGTGCTCTCAAGAGGAAAACTTTTAGGACAGTAAGGGAAGGGAAACAGGACAAGGCAGGGAAGAGCTAAGCTAAGATATGGCCTTGGCTGGAGTCTAGCCTTAGCCTGGCCCTGAACTTGAACTGTACCATAGAGTTGGTCCCAACATGTACCGTCGTGTCAGTCATTGGCTATGGCTTCCCCATGGGGTTTGGGAATTGGGGAGAAGGTGGTGGCTGAAAAGTGTAACCTTCTGGGTGAGGCAGCTCCTATCAGCTGAGGACATTCATCTGAAGAGAGGAGACAGCTGTGACCTAGGAGCAGTGAGAACTTAAACAGCAGAAATGGGGGCACCATTCAGTGAAGGGGACTTCAGTGAAGGGGCAGTAAAGGGGCACTGACAGCATATACTGCAGAAAGGAGTAACTCAGCGAGTCCGAGTTGTCTAAACCCTGAACATCTGAAAGAATGGTTCAGCTTTTGCTGAGCTCCCTCCTGGGAAGTAAGCTCTAAGTTTCTGGAATATTCTGGCTGATACAAATGTCTTTGTTTACCTGGGGACCTCGGGCTATATCAGACCGTGATGTGATTTTTATCTGGGAGTTTGGACGTTGACGTCTAGAGGGGCTGAACTAAGGTCAGCCACACGGGCAATCAACCAATGAGAGTGACCCCCAATAAAAACCAGTGTGCTCCCTCATTAGCAATGTTCTGTGCATGTTGTCTTATGTGATGCTGAGAGAATTAAGGACTATCCACACAGCTCCACTTCCCAAGGATAACTGGAAGCTTGTGCCTAGGGTCTGCTGGATCCTGCATTATGTACCTCTTCCCATTGCTGGTTTTAATCTGTATTCTTTATAATAAACTGCAACCCCAAATATAAGTACTTTGTTGAGTTCTGTGAGTCCCTCTTGTGAATCATTGAACCTGAGAGTGGTCTTGGGGAGCCTGAAGAGAATTGGTGTCTGAAGTCAGATTCATTGACCCAATCACAACTCAGTGAAACATAATGAACACGTCATTTGAGAAAAGGAGGTTGGCGTGCCTTTGATTTCTGGATGGCCACTTAGTTACCCACAGTATGGAACTGCAGCTATGCTGTGATCAGTTACTGGAGGTAAATTTTACTAATGGAATTTATCAAATGATAGAGTCAACTTCTGATGAGCTGTTAAGGAAATCTTCCAGAAAGTTTTTTTTTTTGACAGAGCCTCAAGCTGTCCCCCTGGGTAGAGTGCTGTGGCATCACAGCTCACAGCAACCTCCAACTCCTGGGCTCAAGCGAGTCTCCTGCCTCAGCCTCTGAAGTAGCTGGGACCACAGGCACCCACCACAACACCTGGCTTTTTTTTTGGTTGCAGCCTTCATTGTTGTTTTGGTGGGCCCGGGCTGGATTTGAACCCGCCACCTTAGGTGTATATGGCTGGCGCCTTAGCCACTTGAACCACAGGCGCCGAGCCAGAAAGTTAAATAATAACTGAAGCCCATGAAGAAAAAAGACAATGAAATTAGAGGATCAATATTTGAATGATAGAAATCTAGAAAATTAGAATGGAGAGAAACAAGGGGGAATTTCTTAAAATCAAGAAATGAAGGACATGATTCTTTAGGTCCCAGCAAATTCACAGTTCAATCAATGAAAAACAGGCTGGGTGCAGTTGCTCATGCCTGTAATTCCAGTGCTTTGGAGAGGCTGAGGGAAGAGTGGGAGGATTGCTTAAGGCCAGAAGTTTGAGACGAGCCTAAGCAACATAGCGAGACCTCTACAAAAAATTTAAAACATTAGCTGAGTGTGGTTCTATGTACCTGTTGTCCTAGCTACTCGAGAGGTTAAGGAAGGAGGATTGCTTGAGCCCAGGAGTTCAAGGCTGCAGTGAGCTATTATTGTACTGCCTGGGCAACAGAGCAAGACAGTGTCTAAAATGAAAAGAAAAAGGACTGACATCAAGACATATGATGAAATTCAAGTTACCAGGGATAAAAAGACCTACTTAAGAGCTTCTCCAAATGAAAAAGATCACATATATAGAACCAGAAGTCAGAATGCTATCAGGCTTTTCAACTCTAACACTGGTAACTAGAAGAAAATAAAGCAATGCCCCCCAAAGAGGAAATGGTTTCCAACTGAGGAATGATTATCTGCCTAAGTGAGTATTAAGTGTGAGGGTGGAATAATGGCATTTTCAGTCATCCAAGGTCCCAAAACTTTGACCTTGCATATACCCCTTTTTAAGGAAGCTCCTGGAAGATGTATTTCCTGTGTTTAGACATGTTCAGAGTAAATATTAGGTTCTACTGGAACCTTTGGGATTAAATTAGCAATTGGTGCCCAGAAAATCAAACAAATGATAAAACATAGTGATTACTAACTCCAGGGAGCACAAAAAGTTGAATAATAATGTTTACCTCATCGTAATAAAAGTATTAAATATTGTCTGGGCGTGGTGGCTCATGACTGTAATCCTAGCACTCTGGGAGGCTGAGGTAGGTGGATTGCCCGGAGCTCATGGGTTTGAGACCAGCCTGAGCAAGAGTGAGACCCCGTCTCTAAAAATAGCCAGGTTGGGCAGCGCTTGTGGCTCCAGGACTAGGGCACCAGCCCCATATACCAGAGGTGGTGGTTTCAAACACAGCCCCAGCCAAAAACTGCAAAAAATTAAAAATAAAAATAAATAGCTGGGTATTGTGGCAGGCACCTGTAGTACCAGCTAGTTGGGAGGCTGAGGCAAGAGAATTGCTTGAGTCCAAGAGTTTGAAGTTGCTGTTGTTGTGAGCTATGACACCATGGCACTCTACCAAGGAAGACAAAGTGAGACTCTATCTAAAAAAAAAAAAAAAAGCACTAAATATTGAATCCAAATGATGAAATAGCTCTTTGGGAGGATGGAAGGAGGGAAAGTTTGTGTTACCTGGAAGTGTGTGTGTTGAGGAGGGAGGGTGGTAGGAAAGCGAAATCCTTAATTCCACAGCAGGAAATCCATACATAACATCTAAACATAGAATAATTAAGAAATAGTGATAAAAGCATGGATATAAATACAGGAGAAAAATTATAACAAAAAGAATTAAAAGTGGTTGACTTGGGACTGGGCTTGATGGCTCACACCTGTAATCCCAGACTCTAGGAGGGTAAGGCAGGTGGATCATCTGAACTCAGCAGTTTGAGACCAGCTTGAACAAGAGCAAGATCCCATCTCTACTAAAAATAGAAAAACAAACAAACAACAAATAACTAACCAGGCTTTGTGGTGAGTGTCTGTAGTCCTGGTTACTTAGGAGGCTGAGGCAAGAGGATCTCTTGAGCCAGAGTTGAGGTTGAGCTGTGATGCCATGGGACTGTACCCCAGAGCAAACGAATGGGGTTCTGTCTCAAAAAAAAAAAAAAAAAAAAAAAAAGAAGAAGAAGTGGTTGAGTCGGGGATGGAAAGGCATAGTGTAGGGTCTTCTACTATAAGCCTAAATGTGATCTACCTTTTAAACTATATTGTGTAGTATTTTGATAAAAAATGATTTAGCTGCAAAAAGTGACCCTATATAATATAGGTTCATGCTGTGAAGATCAAGAACATACCCTCCCAGGATAACTGAAAAATCTATTTCCTAATTCTATGTGGATATACTTCTGTGGCTTAAGATAAAATGACCAGTGACAGCATTAAACATCATCTAACTCAGAAAGTTGTGAATTGCCTGCTTTTTAGATGGAGGTGCTCTAAACCTAACTATCGCGCTTCTCAGCCTTTATAGTGCATATGACTCTCCTGGGGTTGAATCCTCCCAGGATTAGGTTAAAATGCAGATTCTGATTCAATAGGTCCAGAAGAGATTCCGCATCTTTAACGTTAAAGTTTCCAGGGTACACCAAGCACACTTTGAGGAGTGCAAAAGAAAGAAAGCTGGGAGAGATCCTACCTAGTGCCATCAATTGAGTTCCCACCAATGCTCACCTACATCAGCAGGGAGAGCACCTGGCCAGGAATGAGTTCTGCCTTAGCACCAGGGACAGGAGGTAAGAGGCACAGTCAGGCAGTAGATGCCACTATTTGTGCAGCTGGACACAACAGCCTCCTTTCTTTTCCTTGATATTTTTTTATTCCACTTATGTACATGTGAGAAACAGGAATGCATTAAGCCTTTCCCCCCACCTTTAATACCCTTAATTCATCTGATTAATCTAGGGACTCTCTGGGACCACATGTTACCTCACTTCACCACCCAGCCAATTTAGGAGAAAGATATGGCTCCTTTTTTTTTTTTTCCCAAAGATGAGGTCTCACTAGATCATTACCCAGGTTGGTCTCAAACTCCTGGGTCAACGGATCCTCCTGCCTCAGCCTCCTAAGTAGGTAGGACTGCAGGTGTGAGCTACTGTACCCAGTTTATATGGTTCCCATACAAAACAAATGATAGAAGGGACATGTAAAATGAAGTCTGTATGCCACCAAAGTCATCTATCCTCTACCTGATCACACCAAGAAGCTGGCAAGAGATTCCTAGCCCATTCCTTAAATTAAAATCCCTTTGGGGCAGATGCCACCACCAAGTCTTATTCAGTTGTGAGTTGCAACACACACCCATCCCAGACCATGAAAGATCTACCTAGCTCCTGGCTGTAGAGTTTTGGCTGTGCAGGTACCTGAATGCAAACCTGTCACTGTGCCCCTGGAGCCCCCACCTCCAGATCCTGCTTTGGAGCTTTGGGCCTTTGTGGTCCTAGTTACTCAGTAGCAAGAACCAGAGATGCCAGCTGGGTCAGGATTGCAGAGGAGCCTGAGAAAGTGCTGAGGCACTCAGGAAGAATAGAAGGTTAAGAAGGGATTCTAAGGGTTGCAATAGGGCTGCAGAATGGTGGGAAGGGAAAGAAAGGGGCACTGGGGACACCAGAGATCTGAGCAACCTGCAGATCTGGCTCCCAGGGGTTGATGGGAAAACAGCTGACCTACTCTATTCTGTTAGAGAGTGGGGTCTTCACTTCATGGGCTGCCAACTCCTCTCCTGCAAACCTGATATGTTGGGCAGGGTCAGCTCCTCTTCAGCCATGCTTGGTCCCCTATAGCAGAAGTCTCAACCTGTGGGTCGCGACCCCTTTGGGGGTCGAACGACCGTTTCACAGGGGTCACCTAAGACCATTCTGCATATCAGATGTTTACATTATGATTCATAACAGTAGCAAAATAACAGTTATGAAATAGCAACGAAAATAATTTTATGGTTGGGGGTCACCACAACATGAGGAACTGTATTAAAGGGTTGCAGCATATAGCCTTGAATATATTACACACGTACTTTAACAAGAGTGCTGACTAGGGACCAGGTGCCGTTGTAGGCCTTGAGGTGCAGCTGTGAACATTTGGGTGCAAAGCCTCTTCCAGAGGGGCACTTACCTCCTGCTGGTTGTGAGGGAGGCACTGAACAGTGAATGAATAACAAATAAAACAAGATAATTTCGGATATTGTTGAGTGCCTTGACCATAAAAGATGATAAAAGAAGACAGTGTACAGGGTGATAGAGCTAGTCAGAGTGGTCAGGGTAAGCCTTTGGAAGCAGTGACATTGAAATGAAATCTGAATGATGAGAATGCAAACTTGGTTCACAAGTGCAAAGGCAGGAAGGCCAGGAGGGGCTGGGGCCCTGGAGGAGCAGTGCGCCTGTAGGGATGGGAGCCAGGGACAGTGGAGGGGCGGGGAAAGGTGTGGCTAGGAAGAATTTGGTCTTGAAGGGTCTTGCAGTTGAGCCCACTAGGGACTTGAGCTAGGAGGAACTTGACACTTGGCTTTTAAGAGAATAAAGGCTTAGAGTAGATGGGAGCCTCAGGAGGCTGAGATGTCCTGTTCCTTGTGCCCCTGTACCACTTTTCTCCCCTTGACACCCTGCTGCCAAACTTGGATGGGCGCGTGGGGGCCAGAGATTGGGAAGTGGCCAGACTCCACTCTGGCAGGTGGCTGAAGCAGCCCTTAAGACCTGTTGGGACCGCAACCTCCTACCTTGGGAAAATAAGCCTGCAGTGTTGCCCACCTGCCTCAACCCTGTGCCCAGGAAGTACCTATTCTGTAGCATCTCCCTTGAATTTGCTACCCTCCCCCATCACCCCGTGCCCGGTCCCAGGCACCTGGCAAGCTCATGGAGCCGTCTAAGCGCTCCCAGGCAGGATTGGGTTGCTGGGCCCTGTCTGGTTACTCGCCTTGGGCGCGCGTACCTGGCGCGAGTGGGGTGGACCAGATGTCTTAAGGAGCTCTAGGACTGGTGCCGATGGGGCTATCCCTCCCCATGGTGAGCCTTGGTTCCAGAGAGCGGTGCAGTATTTCTTTCCAGGATTCCTGTAAGGTTGGGCCGCCAGAATGGTGCTGACTCGTTGCTTTTGGGTGATTTAAATTGTTTTTACAGATAGTGGCCCAGCAAAAAATATTTGATCAGGACTGTGCACTCCAGAGGATTCCCAGCTACCTCTGGGCATCGCTTCTTGTGGAGATGGCAGCATCATCCTGGAGGGCTCCTTGCAAGGCCAAGTGCACACAGTTGGACACGTTTTCTTCCTTTTCTGGAGGAGACCCAGGGGTGGAGGAGTCAAAGGGGGCATTGGAGGGAGGATGGGAAGGGTCCAGTGCTCTGGCATCTCTGGCTCTGGAAGAGTCCCACAAATAGAGATCTAGGGCTGCTGGCTTCCCAGGGGAATAGGGGAGGGGGTGCAAAGAGCTGGAGGGGGAGGGCAGGGCCCAAGTCAAGCCTCAGCCCCTCCATCCCTGGTCCCAGCCCGCTCCAGTTTCTCTCCTCATGTTATGTAACCCCGGAACGTGGCAGGCCGGAGCAAAGGAGCAGGGGAGGGAAGGGAGAGGAGAGGGGGGAGGCGGGGCCGGGTGGTGGGGGTGGGGGTGGGAAGCGTCATCTCTGGTTGGGCCCCTTGGGTAGTCTTTCTGAAAGATTCTTGGAGGATCAGCCCTTCCCCCAACCTCCGCTGGCGCCCTATGCCCCGCCTCAGTTTCCCTTCACTCTCTCCCACTCCTGTCCCACCGCCCAGGCTCTGGCTCTGGATGGATTTCCCTCCAGGATTGTAGTTTCCTTCCAAGGTTCTCAGCTTTGCCACCCTGGCCGTCGGTTAGTCGCTCTGAGCCTCAGTTGACTAGTCTGTAAAATGAGGTTTGATTGCGAGGCCACGTATAAAGTGTTTGGCATCATGCATGGTACAAAGTGGGTGCCCGCTGTGCGACGGGTGCCTCGCGGGACTAAGCTAATTGTGTGGCTTTGCAGACTGTAAAGGGCTGCGCACGAGGGAGGATGGTTAGCTCGGGAAGGCCGGAGAGGACCCGGCAGTTTTGCTGGGAGTGGGGAGGGTCCGGAGACCTCGGGCGGCCCCTCGAGGGTCCGCCCTGTTTGCTCTGCCCCGGCCCTCCCCTCTCCTCCGAAGTTCGGGCCAGCGAGAGGGCTGTGGGCGGGCCGGAGGCTGCGAGGGGCGTGTGGCGACGGCGCGGGCGGGCAGGAAGGGGCGGGGGGCTGCACAGCGCCCGGCAGGAAGAGACGAACCCACCCGCAGCCGCCGGCCCCGCGCGTCCCCTCCTGCCTCCCGACCCTCACCATGTGGGGTCTTCTGTTCACCCTGGCCGCCTTCGCGCCTGCCGTCGGTTTGGGTCTGGGGGCGCCCGGCGCCTCGCTGCCGGGCCTTGCGCCGCCCTCCACCACCGAGGCTCCGGGCTCGACCCCCGCCCAGCGTAGCAGTCCGGCTCAGCTGCCCGCGGAGAGGGCGAACGGTGAGCTTCCCCCACCGCTTCTCGGCAAGGGTTGCCCCGCTCTCCTGACCCTGGGGCGACCCCTCCCCAACATGCGCGCTCACCACACATGCACGCGCGCCCACACACACGCACGCGCCGTTACACATACACAAACACACACACACATGCATACACACGTACACACACTCTCTCTCTGCCCGCCCGATGGCTGCTGACTCAGCAGCCCCGATCCGGCCAGACTAGTCAGCAGTCCCGGGGCAGGCGCTGTAGGATGCTGCCTCTTCCAACGCCAAAACTTGCCCTTTCCCAGATAAGGAAATTGAGGCCAGTGCCAGCAGGAGGGGAAAAGGAGGTGCAGAAACACTGAGATTGAAAGAGGCAGAACAGGACTGTGTAGGAGAGTTTGAGGGCAAGGGACTGGGAGAAAGGACAACAGGGGCGGAGGGACAGTGCTCTCACTGAGGCTGGCGCTGGCTCCCACCAGGGGTGGGGTGGTGGTGGGTGGTGGACAGGGCCTAATCTCCCAGTTTCTTACACTTGGGAGCTGACACCCATCTGGCAAGCGGGTGGATGGCGCTCGGGGGCTTCTAGAGGAGGCAAGAAGTGAGTCCGGAAGGGTGAGTATCTGTGAGTCAGAAACATCTCAAGAGAAACAGGCAAGAATGAAGCAGAGTGTGCAAAGGCACAGGGGCATGGGACATAAGGCTCGCAGCCTGTTCTGAGGCCGCTGTGCAGCTTGAGTAGGGAACTAGCACACCAGCTCTGTGCAAGCCCTGTGCTGAAGGACAGACCCACAGGCAGGCCAGCCCTAGAAAACCTCAGCCCCCAGGGAAACGTGGATTTGAGGACAGGACATCTCAGCCCAGAGGACAGACACAACAGTAGAGGCAGTACAGGGTCTTTGGGGGATGAGATCTAAGGAGGAAGAAATTCTCCTTGAAGGGAATCAGGGATGAGATGCAAAACAATTTGAGAGGCAAAAAACGTTCTGAGGTGGGCAGCCCCTGACCACATACACCAAGGCTGGCAGGTTCCAACCCAGCCTGGGCCAACTAAAACAACAATGACAACTGCAACAACAACAACAACAAAAGTAGCCAGTGCCTGTAGTCCCAGCTACTTGGGAGGCTGAGGCAAGAGAATTGCTTAAGCCCAAGAGTTGGAAGTTGCTATGAACTGTGACGCTATGGCACTCGACCCAGGGCGTAGCTTGAGACTGTCTCAAAAAAAAAAAAAAAAAAAAAGTTCTGAGGTGGTGGATGGTATTATAGCGGAGGGAACAGCTAGTTTAAAGTCTGTAGGTAAAGAATGAAACTCAGCCCTTTGGAGCAAGCATGCAGTTCCTAGTGGCTGAGGGTAGCCCTTCACTGGGTTTGAGAGTAAGAGGTGAGGCTGGCCAAACTTGTGGTCATGTTGGGAAGGAGAAGGAACCAGAAAAGTGGCTGAAGAGGTAGGTTGGGGTTAGAGGTTGGGGTTAGACTGCAGGCCTTTTTATGCATGCTAAGGCTGTGAGGTACTTGCAGTATGGCCTGGTGTGGGCTCACATGCCTTTTTGGCCTGGCAGACCTTTCTGGGGTTTCATGCCATTCTTCCCTCCCCCGGGGCTGTACTTCCCTGGACCTCAGGAACATCAGAACAGCATGTCCGGATTCGAGTCATCAAGAAGAAAAAGATTATTATGAAGAAGCGAAAGAAGCTGACTCGTCCTAGTCCTCTGGTGACTGCTAGGCCAGTGGTGACCACCAGCCCAGCAGAGACCCTCAACCTCACTGAGAAACAGGAGCCAGGTACTTCCTGTCCAGGGGCCCTGCCCAGGCTTGTAACCCCCTGGAGCACTTACCAGTGCAGCTCTTGGCCTTGTGAGCCTGGGCATGCTCCCTGCCTGCCTAGCCCATGAGCAAGCTTAGGCTCAGCTTCCCGTCTGCCTGACTACTCTCCCTCTGGTTCTGTCTCACCACTCTGTTCTGGCCCCAGGCTGTCCCCCTTTGGGCCTGGAGTCCCTTCGAGTTTCAGATCACCAGCTAGAGGCATCCAGCAGCCAGTCCTTTGGTCTTGGACCACACCGAGGTCGGCTCAACATCCAGGTCAGCAACCTTTCCTCAGTGCCCAGGTCTCAGAGCTAGACAAGGCAACTGCCGGGAGCTTCTTCCCTGCCCCCTCCCTATCCTGACTCACCCTACTCTGTCCATCTGGGCCTGATCACCATGTCTTTTGTCCACAGTCAGGCCTGGAGGATGGTGATCTATATGATGGAGGCTGGTGTGCTGAGGAGCAGGACACTGAGCCGTGGCTTCAGGTGGATGCTGGGCACCCCACCCGCTTCTCAGGTGTTGTCACACAGGGCAGGAACTCGGTCTGGAGGTGAGACAGGCTAGCCCCAGGCTAGGAAGTTGTGGGTGGGACACAGGAGGACTGGGATGGGAGTCTGGGGGGGCACTGATGATCTCTCCCTGCCTGACCTGCCAGGTATGACTGGGTCACATCATACAAAGTCCAGTTCAGCAATGACAGTTGGACCTGGTGGGGGAGTAAGAACCACAGCAGTGGGATGGATGCGGTGAGTGATCCCACGGTGTCTGGGGCCCTTTGTGCTGGGAGCTGGGCATGCAGCCCACTGCTAGGATGGTTGGCTAGGCTGAGACTCCTCTGAGGACAAGGGACAGATGCCCACTTTGGCAGCCTTGGGAGCCAGGTTGCTTTGAGACATACCCACATCCTCCCCCAGATAATGCCACCATGGGTAGATGCTGCTTCATGCTGCACTTTCTTCTTGGCACACTCCTTTTGACCATGGTCCTCCTCATGGCTCTTCCCCATCTCATGGATCCCTTTTTAAGACAGGGTACAGAATGGGGTCCTGGCCAACTTTAGGATTGGTTGCCCCAGAGCCACATGGCTGTATGAGTCTAACATGCTGTGACCAAGATGGAAAGCATGGCTGCTTAGGGCTGCCCATTGGCCGGAGCCATGGGCAGGGGGTCTTTATTGGATGCAGTGTGCAGGTCCCAGCCAAGCCCACCAGCGTGGGTTACATACTGAGCTTGGAGGCCTGAGCTTCTTTCCTGGATCCTAGGTTAGGCTGCTGGGGTTTAAGCACCCCCCACAATAGACTCCATGCCCCCAGGTATTTCCTGCCAATTCAGACCCAGAAACCCCAGTGCTAAACCTCCTGCCAGAGCCCCAGGTGGCCCGCTTCATCCGCCTACTGCCCCAGACCTGGCTTGAGGGAGGCGCACCTTGTCTCCGGGCTGAGATCCTGGCCTGCCCAGTCTCAGGTGGGTGAGCAAGTGAGGGCTGGGGGGCAGGGCCTGGATGCAGGGTATATCCTCTACTGTGGCCTCACCTTTTACCATCCACTCACCCTTTGCCAGATCCTAACAATCTATTATTCTCTGAGCCACCTGTGCTGGGATCTTCTGACCCTCTGGACTTTCAGCATCATGATTACAAGGCCATGAGGAAGGTCAGATACAACCTCTGTGACTTGGGAAGGAGGGCCCGCCCATCTCAGGTTCCTTTTTTGCTGGGGCAGCACCTTCTGTGACTGCCCTCATGCACACCCTCCCACTGTGACTGCTAATCTCTGCCTCAGTTTCCCTATCATGGCTCCTTCCCTGTCCTGCCCCTTCTTCTGGTCTGCCCCTGCACCATGTCATGATGTCCCATCTGTGTGGCCCGCCTCTGACTTTTGTAAATCCTTCTGTGGCCACATGTGGTCTGGCCCTGGGTGTGATCCTCCAGTGCCTCATGGCATGTTACACCCCACCCCTCAGCTGATGAAGCAGGTGAACGAGCAGTGCCCCAACATCACTCGCATCTACAGCATTGGGAAGAGTCACAAGGGCCTGAAGCTGTATGTGATGGAAATGTCGGATCGGCCTGGGGAGCATGAGCTGGGTACTGGCAGAGGGGCTGGGGAGAGGTAGACACAGGGCAGGGCTGTGGGTGGGAGCTGGCTCTGAGCCCCTGCGTGTTCCCAGGAGAGCCTGAGGTGCGCTACGTAGCTGGCATGCACGGGAACGAGGCCCTGGGGCGGGAGTTGCTTCTGCTCCTGATGCAGTTCTTGTGCCATGAGTACCTGCGAGGGGACCCACGGGTAACCCGGCTGCTCACCGAGATGCGCATCCACCTGCTGCCCTCCATGAACCCTGATGGCTATGAGACTGCCTACCGCCGGGTAGGCTGCCTGGCATGGGGGCCCCCTGTCCTGTCCTTCCGCGCTGATGTTTGGAGCCTGCTTAGCTTGAACAATCCCCGTCTCTGGCAGGGCTCAGAGCTCGTGGGCTGGGCGGAGGGCCGCTGGAACCACCAGGGGATTGACCTTAACCACAATTTTGCTGACCTCAACACACAACTGTGGGAGGCAGAGGATGACGGGCTGGTGCCCCATACTGTTCCCAACCATCACCTGCCCCTGCCCACTTACTACATCCTACCTAATGCCACCGTGAGTATTTTGGGGACAGTGTTGCCACCCGGGGGGCCCTTGTCTCTATCTACCGCCCCTCCTGACCTGCCCCTGTCCAGGTGGCTCCTGAAACTCGGGCAGTGATCCAGTGGATGAAGCGAATCCCTTTTGTACTGAGTGCCAACCTCCATGGGGGTGAGCTCGTGGTATCCTACCCATTCGACATGACACGGACCCCGTGGGCTGCCCGAGAACTCACGCCCACACCAGATGATGCTGTGTTTCGCTGGCTCAGCACCGTCTATGCTGGCACAAATCGGGCCATGCAGGACACAGACCGCCGACCCTGCCACAACCAGGACTTCTCTTTGCACGGCAACGTCATCAACGGGGCTGACTGGCACACAGTTCCTGGGAGTATGTGCCTGAGGGTGGAGTTAGGCCTGTTCCCATAGCCCCTGCCCCGATAAGATCACTTGCTGTTAACGTGCAGTGCTGGTATCAGTTCCCACCCTAAAGTGTCTTCCCACAGATGACACCAGGGAGGTGGGACTCCATCTTGCCCCCTGAGGCTCCAATGTCTTTGGTATCCCTAGGCATGAATGATTTTAGCTACCTACACACCAACTGCTTTGAGGTCACTGTGGAGCTGTCCTGTGACAAATTCCCTCATCAGAATGAGCTGCCCCAGGAGTGGGAGAACAATAAAGATGCCCTCCTGACCTACCTAGAACAGGTAGGATTGAAATCCCCTGGGCCCCCAGATTGCCTGAATCACTCTTGACCAGTCTGTTCACTTAGCCTCTAGCTCATTCCAGGGGTTTTCAAAGGTCCAGCTGAACATTCAGACACACAAGATGCCATGGGCTACACTTGGCATCGAGTTGTCTTGGAAGAATATAGGACAGGAAGCATATTTGCCAGAGTGTGGCATTAGACAATGTTAGAGCCAGCAGGAATAGCCTCCATTGCAGGCTCGGGGGATAGGGAACCTGTGGCCTTAGGACCACATATAGCATTCCAGATCCATGAGTGTGACCTCTTGACTAAAACAAAATTTTACAGAACAAATCCTCAGGATCAGGAGGGCCTGATGTGTGGCCTTGAGTCTACATATTCCCCACCCCTGTGTGGTTCACAGCAGTGTCCCAGAGCTATTCTAAGGAGAGCTGTTCTCAGAAAAGATTCAAGTATGGCAGAAGCTTCATATCCCTTGTAAAGGTTCCATAAGGATAGCTTCCAAAGCTTCTACCAAAGACAAGCCCAATAACAACTGTCATCAAACTTGGGGAAGTCCAAAGATATGCCTTCCCACATCTCTCAGTCCAGATGTAATTTATCGATCCAGGGATATTTTTAACCATAAGTATTGTCACCCAGGAACAAAGTAGACCTACCATCTTTATCTGGTGTGCCGTGGAACAGAGCTAGCAAATTAACTTAAAGTCATGTGCTCACACAGAAAAGAAAGGGTGTTGATAACCTTTCCCCACACAGGTGCGCATGGGCATTGCAGGAGTTGTACGGGACAAGGATACAGAGCTTGGGATTGCTGATGCTGTCATTGCCGTGGATGGGATTAACCACGATGTCACAACTGGTGTGTGTGGTGGGGCCAGGGGGCTTGAGTTAGGTGGAAGCCAAAGACCCCTGGACCCTGATTTTGCCTTTTACTTCCCTCAGCATGGGACGGGGATTACTGGCGCCTGCTGACCCCAGGGGACTATATGGTGACCGCTAGTGCTGAGGGCTACCATTCAGTGACACGGAGATGCCGGGTCACCTTTGAAGAGGGCCCTGTCCCCTGCAATTTCTTGCTTACCAAGACTCCTAAAGAGAGACTAAGAGAGCTGCTGGCAGCCGGAGCGAAGATACCCCCAGACCTTCGGAGGCGGCTGGAGCGGCTGAGGGGACAGAGGAATTAATACCTTTGATTGAAGAGCCTCAGAGCCTTGGACAGGCTGGACCTGTTCAGAACTGAAGGGGAAACCTAGGGAGGGAGGGGCAAAGTGGAGGAAGAGGCCCTCAGGCTCATTAAAGCTACCTGACACCTACCTTAGCTGGTCTGCCTGTTGTCTCTGTGTCTCTGTGTCCTCCCCTTAGGGTGGGCTTCAGCCCATGTTTCAGTTGCTATTCTGTACACACTTGAACACTCTTACCCATTGACTTCTGGAGACACCGTGTGAAAAGAGGAGCCCACCTGGGCTCTTGAACTGAGGGATTGACAGACCAGCTCATTTCTGCCTGTCAGCATCTGCCACGAGTGCCATTACAGTGCTGTCAGACGTCTGCAAGCACCTGCCCAGGGCCCAGCATGCAAAGAATCAAGGATCAACAGTGCCCATGCCCAGCCTCCTGAGGCTCCCAGTCAAGAGCAGGGACAACTCAATGCACTTGGAGGCCAAGTGCTGTGAGAGCACAAATGAGTTACACACATGCAGAATAGACATTTCAGGTCAGCAGAGACCACACAGTCAAGGATTTGATAAGAGGCGATGGTTCTAGGAGTTCCTATGGGAGGTGGGCCAGGTGTGGAGTGGGAACAGGGACTGCTCCAAGATGGAGAGAACCAATGACAGACCAGCTAAGAGCATATGAATTTGCTTCATTAGCTATTCTCAGGGAGTGCTGGTAATTGGTAGGTTTTGATTAGTTTCTTTTAGACTGAAGGGGGAGTTGTGTGTCAGTGTCTTGCCAGGTAAACAACCTATTCTAGCTATCTGAAGTGGAAAGAAATTTGATGCTGAAAATTGGATATGAAGGTGTTGAAGAAGTAGATGAGAAAAAGGGAGGAGGGAATCTTACCCAACAATCAGGATAACACTCTTAGTCTGGCATTTATAAACCTGTATTTGCTGATGTTGGTGCTGGAGCCCACAATACCTGTGACTACCTGTAGCTGCCCATGATCACCTATGGTTACCTGCCATGGCTAGACCCAGAAAGAAAATAATTTCTGCCTTTCTCTGACTTTCTAATCTCTAGCCTATAAAGTCTCCTGGCAAAATATAACTGTAACCGAGCTGGCAAGGAAGTCTACCAAATGTAGGCTTCCAGCTCCCCTACAGTTCAGAGTAGAGTTTCCATAAGCAGGAATGAGGCTTATACCAATAGGCAAAATCTGGTATGGTAACATCATACAACTTCCATTATGTAGGTTCTGTATAGTATTTGGATCTTGCACTGTTTCTCTCTCAGGTCTGTAATCTCAGTTAACCCTCATGAGAGTTAATGCCACATTTCCCTGTACCTTTTCTCCCTACATCCAACTCCTCTTGTATAGTAATCACTCAAGAAAGTCTCTATTGTCCTGGGTAGAGTGCCATGGTGTCATAGTTCACAGCAACCTCAAACTCTTGGACTCAAACATCCTCTTGCCTCAGCCTCCCCAGTAGCTGGGACTACAGGCACCTGCCACTATGCCTGGCTAGTTTTTCTATTTTCAGTAGAGACAGGACCTTGCTCTTGCTCAGGCTGGTCTCAGACTCCTAAGCTCAAGAAATCCACCTGCTTCAGCCTCCGAAAGTGCAAAGATTACCGGCATGAGCCACCATGCCTGGCCTCTTGGGTTCTATTTTTGTTTCACTGGATATAACAGAGTTCTTGGTTGTAGATGATAGAATCTAGATAGTTTAAGAAGAAAGGAATTGAGGCTGGGTGAGGTGGCTCATGCCTGTAATTCTAGCTCTGGGAGGCTAAGGCAAGCAGATTGCTTGAATTTAGTAGTTGGAGATCAGCTTGAGCGGGAGCAAAATCTGTCTCTACTACAAATAGAGAAAATAGCTAGACATTGTGGTGGGTGCCTGTAGTCCCAGCTACTTGGGAGGCTGAGGCAAAAGGGTTGCTTGAGCCTAGGAGACTGAGGTTGCTGTGAGCTATGATGATGCCATGCCACTCTACCCAGGGCGACAGAGTGAGACTATATCTTAAAACAAACAAACAACAACAAAAAAAAAGTGCAGAAGAAGAAAAAAGGAGAAGGAGGAGGAGGAAGAAGAAGAACAAGGAGAAGACAAAGAAAGGAATTGATTAAAAGTCCTCAGGAAGCTTACACAATCTCCAGGAGAGATAGAAACCAGGCTAAATGTTTTAGTCAATGTCAACAAAGATCAGGGGAATGCCCAACCACATCATGGGAATATCCTCGAGGAGTTGCCACTCTCACCATTGCTTTCTACTTGGCAGCTAATATACTAGGGATTAGAGATGCCAGAAAATTCCATATTTGCACCAGAGGAACCATACATATTCACTGTCATGACTGCCATAAAATCTGATCTCCCTCAATGTGGTTGCCACCTCCTTTTGCCCTTTCTTAACTATAAGTCTAGAGCCAGTGTATCTGTTTGGCAGGACCTAGGTTACATGTGGAATCCCAGACAGACAAGAGTCTGGAATATTTAGCTTTTAGCTTCCATCCTCTACAGTACAGGATGTCAAACCAAAGAAAGGTTGAAATGAATGTTAAATGAGCCAGACTCTACAGGGTGGCCATAAAGTTCATGTGCAATTTGCATGTATTATATGAAACACTGTAAGATGTCCATGAGTATTATACCACTTTAGGGGATACCATTTAAAACAAACCAAGAGTTTTCCATTAGTGACTCTAGTATGACACAAATAATTTTTCAAGTACAATAAATATTACATAGTAAAAAATCTCCAAGGAAGCAAAGAAACAACAAATAGGAGATCCAGACCTATGAAGATTCAATATATTAGAAACACCAGATGCAAATTATAAAATAACTATGTTCACATTGTATCAAACTAAAAGTCATACAAATGTGTCCTCAATTCAAAAAACATAAATGTGAAATATTGTGAAAACAACCTAAAAGAATTTTTATAAGTAAAAAGACAATAACCTAAATTAAAACTACATGGACATGTACAATGGTGAATTAGACAGTTAAAGAGAGAATTAATGAACTGGAAGTTAGGTCAGAAGAAATATCCAGAAAGCATAGAGAGATAGAAGAAAATATGGAAAGATAATTTATTGAAGAGATATTAAAAGATGTGGAAGAAAAAAAATGAGAATTGAAGAGAGGAAGAATGGGAAAGAGAAATTTTTGAAGGGATGCTGAGAATTATTCAGAACTGATAAAAGACAATTTACAAGTACCCACAGAATAATGGCTAAAAGATGTGAGCATGCATTTCACAAAATAGATAGTTCAGCATGAGTGAAATGGCATATGAGCTCCCCACACAATGTTTAAACTCTGATTTTTTTTCCCATTTCCAGCAACATATTTCCATGGCCAGAAACTCCCTCTGTTACAGTTTTCTATGTGCTCCCAGATTCTTTCTACCTTCTTCACAAATGTGTAAAGTAGCGTGAGAATAAGACCACTTGAGCTCTTGTGAGTTTAATCCTGCCTGACCTAAGCAAACCTCCTTTTGGATAAAGGGAGTTTGGGGCATCATATCATGTTTTCCCAACTCTTTGCCTGGAAGTTCCCTCCCATAAACCCTTACCTGTGTCTGCACTATGTGTCCTTAGAGGTGTTTCCCTTTGCATTCTACTTGCCATACGTGAGAAGATGGAGAACACTGCAGCCTAATCTAGTAAAACTGAAGGCACACATGCCCTATTCTTCCGTATACAGTATATACTATAGAGAAGTTTTTGCACACGTGCAAAAGATACATGTACATGAATGCTTATAACAGCTTTGTTTGTAATAGATCCAAACTGGAAAAAATCCAAATATCCATCCAATATGGAATGGAGAATAAAATATGGTACATTTATATATAATGGAATTTTATACAGGAATGGAAATAAATAAACAGCCACTACACAGAATGTGAACGACTCTCACAAAACAATTTTGAGTGAGACAGCTTAGTGCCCATAGCACAGTGGTTATGGTACCAGCCAAAGATACCCACGCTTGGTGGGTTTGAACCCAGTCCGGTCCAGCTAAACAACAATGACAAGTGCAACAAAAGAATAGCTGGGCATTGTGGTGGGTGCCTGTAGTCCCAGCTACTTGGGAGGCTGAGGCAAGAGAATTGCTTAAGCCCAAGAGTATGAGGCTGCTGTGGGCTGTGATGCCACAGAACTCTACCGAGAGTGACATAGTGAGACTCTGTCTAAAAAACAAACAAAAAAATTTGAGTGCAACAACCAAAATTATCTAAAACTAGAAAACTAAATTATATTATTCAGGGATACATGACTGAAAAAGAGATGAAGAAGAACAAGGACAAAATTATGATAAAATTCAGGTTTGTGACTGATTCTAGGAAAGGAGGAATGAGGAAACATGGAGGGAGAAGAACATGGGGCTTCTGAGAGTGCTGAAAATATTTTTTTCCCTTTACCTGGGTGAGAGTATATAAATGTTCACTTAAATATGTATGTTAAAATTTGTGTGAATATTTTATGCATTTTAAAAATATTCGTTTCATGGGGAGTGGTGCCTGTGGCTAAGTGGGTAGGGCGCCAGCCCCATATACCAAGGGTGGCGAGGGGTTCAAACCCGGCCAAACAGCAACAAAAAATAGCCAGGTGTTGTGGTGGACACCTGTAGTCCCAGCTACTTGGGAGGCTGAGGCAAGAGAATCGCTTAAATCCAAAAGTTGGAGGCTGCTGTGAGCTGTGATGCCATAGCGCTCTACTGAGGGCAACATAGTGAGACTCTGTCTTAAAAAAGAAAAAAAAGAAGTTTGCATATGATAAAATTCATCTTTTTAATGTACATTTTTATGAGTCTATCCATCGCTTCTTCCTTCTTTTGGAGGGGGGGACAGAATCTCCCTGAGTCACCCTAAATAGAGTGCTACGGCATCATCATAAGCTCATAATAACTTCAAATTCTTGGGCTCAAGGGATCCTCTTGCCTCTGCACCCAAATAGCTAGGACTATGGGTACTCACCATGATGCTCAGCTGATTTTTTCTATTTGTAATAGAGACAGGGTCTTACTCTTGCTCAGGCTGGTCTTGAATTCCTGAGCTCAGGTGATCCATCCGCCTTTTTCTCCCAGAGTGCTAGGAATATAGGCATGAGCCATTGCGCCTGGCCACATGCATAGATAGATTCTT